TAGCCTTCAACACCCTCGCACAAAGCGAGGAAGGAGTTCTCAGAATCCGCCAGGCTTGCTTCGCAAGTAAATCCTGGTTAAAAGCCTCGGCGTCCCTAAACCCCATGCCACCCTCTTTCTTCGCTGCACACATTTTGTCCCCAGGCAATCCAATGTACTTTACGTTCACCATTAACTGCCCCCCACCAGAATTTTGAAGAGATAGAAGTTAGGTTCCGGCACATCTTCTTTGAGAGGAGGAAACAGCTCATAGTAAACGCTGGAGTAGATTGAAGTCCCGATTTGACTAGAACTTCTCATGATTTCTTCGAGAGACCTTACCCCTTCCAACCTATAACCTTTTTCTTTGAGCTCTCAACAACATATTGAAACGATCCATCCTTTGCCCTCCCAACTACTGTCGGGAGGCCCAAATATCTCTCGCTCAACGCCTCAGATCCAATACCAATGGCCTCCTTGAGGGATTCCTTTAGCTCCTGTTGACACCCTTTGCCAAAGAAAACTGATGATTTTTGGAGATTCACTTTCTGCCCTGAGGCCTCCTCATAAATACCCAAGATATCCTTCAGCGCTTTAAAATTGTCAACTGAGCCCTGAAGGAAGACAATGCTATCATCTGCAAAAAGGAGGTGCGTTACCTGGGGCCAGTGCACCCGAAAGACACTCCTTTGATTAGATGATCCTCTTGGGCTTTCTTTAGTAACGCAGAGAAACATTCAACACAAAATAGGATTAAATATGGAGACAAAGGATCCCCTTGCCTTAGGCCACGTGATGGAAAGAACCTCCTGAATAAACCACCATTCAATTTCACCACAAAGTTGGCTGATGTCCCACACCTCATGATCATGGAGATCGACGCATTGTCAAAACCAAACTGTGCTAACATTTGTTGAAGGAAAATCCATTCAACCCTGTCATATCCCTTCATCATATCCAACTTAACTGCACATAGTGGTTTCTTTCTCTTCCTCTTCCTGATAGCATGCACACATCATAGGCCACAAACACATTATCCGTGATTAGCCTGCCCGGTACAAACGCACTTTGTTCCTCAGAGATCAGAATAGGAAGAATAGTTTTTAACATGTTTGCTAACACCTTAGATGTGATCTTGTATAAGACATTGCAAAGACTAATTGGGCAAAATTGCGAGAGTAACTCCGGTGAGTTAACTTTCGGTATCATTACAATGACAGTCGCATTAAACGCATCAGGTGCTGCCACTCCCGCCAGAAAATCACGAACAACTCTACACACCTCTTCCTTCACCAACAACCAGTGTCGTTGATAGAATAGCGCAAGTAGCCCATCCGGACCTGGAGCCTTTGTTGGGCCCATCTGGAACAATGCAGTCTCAATCTCCTCGTTAGTGATGGGTACCACTAGTTTTTGATTCATGCTCTCAGAAACTACGGATGGGATATTATTCAGCAAAGCTTGAGCACCTACTGATCCTTCAGAAGTAAATAAAGTCTCATAGAACTTCGCTGCCATCTCTCGCATCTCCTCATCTACCATGCACTTCAAACCATCCTCCCGGACTAGCGCACGGACAGTGTTCTTTCTCTTTCTATGGGAAGCCCTTGCCTAAAAATACTTCGTGTTCATATCTCCAGCCGCTAGCCAGTCCACACACGATCTTTGTCGTTGCATCACCTCCTCCCTAGCATAAACCTCCCTGAGTTGTTCTTCAATGTCCCTGATTTCCGTGGAGTATCCTGTCCGCAACGATCTGAATTTTGCCTCGTTAAGCTGCACTTTCAGTTGCTTTATCTGGTTCCGAATAGATCCAAACACAACTCTCCCCCACTCCTGCATACTCATTGTCAACATGCTCAATCTGCTACATGTCGCGGTAAGGCCAGTGCCCCCCGTGTTCGCTTCCGCCCACTTTTCAGCAACCATCGACTCGTACATTTCATGGCGTGTCCACGCTTCCTCATACTTGAACTGCCGCGGGCCGTTACTATCCCGGTCTGGAGCAGTCTCCAGAACATGCGCAAGCAGTGCAACATGATCAGATTTCTCACTTACAATATGCTGGACATACGTTTCCAGGAACATAGCTAGAAAATCATCATTGCATGTGCATCGGTCTAGTCGGACTTGTATATTATCGAGCCCTTGCCTTCTGTTATCCCACGTATAGGGGTATCCGGAGAAGCCTAAGTCAGCAAGGCCGCAATCGGCCAAACAATCACTAAAATCTTCCATTTGCATGAAGCTCCTAGGATTTCCCCCCTCTGTTCAGATTGCAATAAAGCTTCATTGTAATCTCCTAGACATAGCCATGGTAAATCGTCTTGTCTTCTCAGGTATCTAAGTGCATCCCAGGATTTCTTCCTTTGTTCCACGTCGGGTTCGCCGTAGAATCCAATGATTCTACAGGTCTTCCCTTCCCATATCACCTCCGCATCGACAAAATATTGACTCCATGGTCTGACAGTAACTTGGAGATGATCTCTCCACCACATAGCTAGACCCCCGCTCTGTCCTCGACAGTCAACCGCCACTCCACATCAAAAGCCCAAGCTCCATTTCAGTTTTCGTATGGAGGGTTAGATCTAATTAAGTGGGCCTCATCGTGTGGTGATAATTCATTTTCATTGTTCTGTGTACATGTGTTCGGATGCGCTTATGAAGAATATGTTTGCTTGTTTACTAGTAGTAAAGATAAAGAAGCTAAGATAGGAGGAACTGGGACCGTTGGATGAGCCGAAACGTTGTGGACGCATCTCAGCCGTTAGCATAGACTGAATCAGAACAGATGATTCTGAAGATCCCGAATTTCTCCCCGCCCGAAAACAAGACACCGGGCTTGAATTGCGGAAAGGTTGACTGGATGAACTTCGCCCTCCCATGTTTCGTCATCCGGCTTAGAGATTTCTCCATGGTATGAGCTACTGCACCACTGCAATGTTGTGCTCGCCATTGTTGTGGGGACTCTAGCGTTGTTGAAGGACTGCGAAGGGGTAGGTTTTGATCTTGCCGTCGGGTGTGAGCACAGGGAATTGATATTGGGGACATTGACTGCGACATGTGCTTCTTAAGTTGAATGACATGATTGCGTAGTTTAGTGCCCTTCAAAAGTTGGAGTTTGTAAGCCACTCAGCCAATGCGTTGCAATATCCAGAGTGGCCCATGTTATTTGGATGTGAGCTTTTGTCCATTCATTAACCCAAAGTTGTTTCCCTGTTGCATTTTTAAGATACACCATGTCTCCTGCGTTGAAGGTGCGCTTAGTTTGTTTCAGTATGCATATTTCTTTATCAGCTTGTGTCAAGTTTTACTACGTAGTTATTCACAAAAAAAATTACTACATACTCCCTCCGTCCCATAATATAAGACACTTTTTGACACTACACTAGTGTTAAAAACGTCTTACATTATGGGACGGAGGGAGTAGTTTTAAGCATATCATCCTTATCCTTCATGGTCACATGTGTGTCAGGAGAGATGTTCCAAGGAACAAAAATATCATTGACTTGAGAGGTAAATATTTATACATAACTTCAAAAGGGAACTTTTTATTTATTGTTGTGTAATATGAAGAGTGAAAGGATCAAGATGGACCTACAGGGGGTGAACTGGTCTCCACAAATTGCACTTGTTTTTCTTACAAGTTTAGACTTTGCGGAATAGAGTGTTTACCTAAATGTGACTACAAGGTGCACAACATACATGATGCTAGCAAGGTCAAGGGGCCAAAGTAAAACAGAAGTAATTAAGCACGGATGAGAAATAACTAAATGCACACGATTACAGAAGATGAATCCCGATAATCACTTCCTTGGGAAAGAAAATCACCGTTTGGAAAGGTGCTAGACCACCGAGGTTTCTCAACGTCCCAAGGCTCACCTTCTTCTCCTTGAGCATTCATAGCAAAACCATAAGGCCACCGAACATTTTAGGGGGGAAATTGAGGATGTTACAAAAACTAAGAGCAAAACCCACGGGTGGCACCACCAGAGCCGGATTAGCCTCTTCGTCTGCTGCCCCACCGCCTGTGTTCCCTTTTATTTTTTGGGCTTGTTGAGCTATGCCCTCAGCAGAACCTTTTCATACCTTTTGTTGTACTACCTTGTGTATGGTGGTGTTGTGTGCGTCTGTGTGTTGTGAACTTTTGTTGGACCTTGTGCCTTGTGGTTTGCTTTATATATAAAGCGTGGCGAAAGCCTTTTTCGGTAAACCCACGGGTGGGCGCTAACTAAGGCCAGGAACATAAATGTCATAGGAAATAAACTCTGCATGCACCAACCAGTATGGTGTGATGACCTACAAAGCTACTGATACCCTCACCTAGCTGAATCATCACCCCAGAGCCAGAGTGCCATCAATCACATGGCTACAACAATTTGTAGCAATTCGCTATGAGTGTGCGTGGCCTAATTCAGGGCTGTGTCTGCCGGCGCCAAAAGACCTACGTACAGTTAATCAGGGCATCATATGTGTTCCATGGTTCGAGCACCGTCTACTTACACAGTAGCAGGCATCACGTTCTTCAGAGCGCAACGGAAGATTTGCCAAAGAGTTTAAGACGACCAAATACTAGCCAAATTGCTCTCTTCAATGGTACAAATATAAGGGGCGATATACTACAGCAGGTCCTTCAGATCCATTCTTCTTGTTGGCGTCAGATTCTGTCAACAATCTCAAAGCTTCCCTGCATATTTCAAATTATAGAATCATAAAAGCTCAGATCTGAATGCCTTTCGAGAACTAATGCATGGCTGGTTTTGCGTAAATGGACCAAACAGAAACAGGCACTAAAAATCACAAAAAGCATTAGCCACATTATTGATATGGAGAACACAATTTCCATGCCTTTAAATAAAGCATGGAGCTAAAGTATATTATCAAGTAGGCTACCTTAATGCCTCCCGATTCCAACAAATCCTGGCTTCAATTTGAGACCATCAAGAAATGAATCACATGCTTTTTCGTACTCCTGAAGATACAAAGCTGACTGGATCATCAAAAAGGTTTAGCCGCAAGATTTAACTAAGTGTGAAATCGTGATTCTTTATCACCTTTACTTGCAAATATGAGTAGCCTTCCAGCCAGCATGAGTCTGCGCAGTCAGGCCGCATTTTCCTGCACATATGGGCATCATTTAAAGCACCGTCTCTACCCAGTAGAAGCCGGCAATACCCCCTATTGCCAATCAGGATTGCATCAAGATTTTCAAGGTCAAGCATCATGGCCTACAACCAACAAATCAAACAAAAAATTACATTTTTTTGACAAATCTGCATATAATCCTCAGATTTCTAGCATCATAAATGATAAACCACATATGGAGATTGTCTCAATGGAAACAGCTCAAGCCAAAACTGCTACCGCAAGCAGGTAAAAGTGGTGGGTAGCCTAGTTCAAGTTGAAAGAGAGAGAAAAGTGTTATTTGTAAGGCTGGTGCAGCAAATGTCAAAAAGTGGGAGGAATCTCTCTGTTCCCAATTGTTCATCTTCATCGATGCAAGGGACACACATCGCATGTCTTAATGGGCCAACCTTGGCTAATGAGTCTATGCACACATCCACACTCAACAAGGTAAAGCTAAAGGCTTTAACAACATACTCAAACATATTAATTAAGATTTGGAGATACAACCCAAAAATATAATAAGTGGCAATGTGACACGCTAAAGGTATTAAGACTTTGTATAACAGGGGCATAAGGAAGCAAATGGAACAACTAAGTTCGATCATCTGCTTGGCATGCACCGGCCACATTTTCCCATAATTAACACCATTCCACAAAGAAGTTACAATGCGTGGCACTTCCCCTAATAACCCAAACTAAAACCACTGTCATGAAACAGTGATCATGATCCACCATGGTCTCGAAGGACCGTCTCAAACGGTTTGCAGTGGTGAACGTCATATTAACCAAGAGATGTGGTAGAATCAGGTACTCTACCAGGTCTAGGGCGTAGGTGGTAAGGGAAGGATGGAGGGGGCCGTGGCGAGGAACGGGCGCGCCGGCGGCTGGGCGCCGTCGCGAGCTAGGAGAAGGGTGGCGGCGGCTAGGGCTGTTGGCGGCTAGGGTTTCCGGCTCCTCAGGGAGCCGGGCAATAGGAGATAATATTCTTCTTATTGCTTGATCTGAAAAGAGTCTTACAACTTATATTTATAACCTAGATAACATGCACACGAATTAACCTAAGATAACTTATGGGCTAAGATTGCCCGATGGGCCTTCCATATGACAGGCCGGACATAACACTTCTCCCCGCCTGCACAAACAGCTCGTCCTCGAGCTGTAAGGTGGGGAAGCGCTTGCTGAACTCCTCGAGGTAATCAACCAGCGTCAAACACCTTCTCGACATCTGGGGCGGCCAGGTCGGCGGCGACGGCGTCCTCCGGAATGTAGTCTGCCACCTCCAGGTAGAAGAGTCGCGGGCAGGCGTGGCCGGGCTTGTAGGGTTCGTCACAGTTGAAGCACAACCCTTGGCGGCGACGCTCGAGTATCTCGGCTGGGGTGAGCCGGTGAAACGGGCATGCTGCGGTCGTGGCGAGAGGTGCCGCGGTCGCGGCGAGGCGTGCCGCGGAAGCCTGCGCAGGACGATCCGGTGCGGAATCCGGCGAAGGTAGTGAGCCAGCGGCCCGGAACGGTGAGTCCTGCTGAATGGCCACCGCGCGGCGCTCGAATGCGTGGGCATAGTACATGGCCGTCTGGAGATCGGGGGGATCCCGTAGCTCGACGTCCACGCGAATATGGTCCGGCAGACCGCCCACAAAGAGCTCGGCGCGCTGGGTCGCGGAGACGCCCGGCACATGGCACGCCAGGGCCTGGAAGCGGTCGGCGTAGTCCTGCACCGTAGATGTGAAAGGTAGACGGCCGAGGGCCGCCAGTCGGCTCCCACGGATAGGAGGCCCAAAACGGAGGAGACAGAGCTCCCGGAAGCGCTCCCAAGGTGGCATGCCGCCCTCGTCCTGCTCGCGGGCGTAGTACCAGGTCTGCGCTGCGCCTCGAAGATGATAGGACGCGAGCCAACTACGATCCGAAGCGAGCGTCCGCTGCCCTCGAAAGAACTGCTCGCACTGGTTGAGCCAATTGAGGGGGTCCTCCGTGCCCTCGTAGGTGGCGAAGTCCAGTTTGGCGAAGCGAGGGGGTGTCGGCCCGCCGTGCCCGGGGGCGGCCGCAGTCGCCGCCGGCGCGTATGCTGGGTCGGGAAGCGCCGGGGCGTAGTTTGTCGAGCTGGAGGGGTGATCAAACTGCAGGGAGGGCGTCGGGTGTTCCGGCGCTGTGGAGTAGACCGGCCCCGGAGACGAGCCGGTCGCCCAAGCGGGGATCGGCGATGGTGACGATGGAAACTGCACCTGGTGCAGGGGCCGACCCGTAGCCCTAGGCGCGGGTGGTGGTACTGTCGATGGCGGCGGCGCCTGGTGGAGCTGCTGCACCGGCGCCTGCGGCGTGGGGGCCGGCGGTGGCGCCGGGAGAAGCTGCTGGGGCGGGCCCCCCAGCGGCGCGGTGGAGGCCGGCCATGCTGGCCACGGCTGTCCCGCAGCCGAGTAGTGCGGCAACAGCAGCGGCGGCTGGGACGCCCCTCCGTAGGTCGCCTGGAAGGCCGGGGCGGGCCACTGTAGCGGCGGCGGCCCGTAGGCGGTGGTGCCGGCGCTCGGTGGTGGGGGCTGGTTCCCGGCGAGGTAGAGGGTAATACCCCTGACCGCCTGGACAAGCTCCCGCAGGGTGCCCGACACCTCCTCGGGCGAGAGGAGCGGAGGCGGTTCCGCCGCGATGTTGATGGGCGCGGTGGTGATGGTGGTGCCGGATGCGGTGGTGATGGTGGTGCCGGATGCGATCTCCGCCATCGCGGTGGAAGTGGCCGGCGGCAGCGAGAGCGGGGTGGAGGTGGATGGTAGCAGCGGCGGTGATGGAGATTGGGACATGATCGGCCTGGTGTCTCTGGATACCAAATTGGTAGAATCAGGTACTCTACCAGGTCTAGGGCGTAGGTGGTAAGGGAAGGATGGAGGGGGCCGTGGCGAGGAACGGGCGCGCCGGCGGCTGGGCGCCGTCGCGAGCTAGGAGAAGGGCGGCGGCGGCTAGGGCTGTTGGCGGCTAGGGTTTCCGGCTCCTCAGGGAGCCGGGCAATAGGAGATAATATTCTTCTTATTGCTTGATCTGAAAAGAGTCTTACAACTTATATTTATAACCTAGATAACTTGCACACGAATTAACCTAAGATAACTTGTGGGCTAAGATTGCCCGATGGGCCTTCCATATGACAGGCCGGACATAACAAGATGAGACCAGGGTAGACCTGTGCAACGAACAGGAATGTTCATCGGTTCCACCGTGGTGCTATCAGTTCCACTGTGGTGCTATCAGGGTCAGTGTGATAGGTGACGCTGCTCTCGATTACGCTAATATAAAAATCTTACAAGGCAGGCAATTATATCAGTGATGCCATGCTCAAAAGCAACTCAATTGTGTATGCCCACATGCTCGTCTGTGCTGGCACTAATAAGGACATTCATCAAGCCACAACTCACAATACAGTAAAGGGCGTAAGTGTCTATATACTTCCGGCCATGGTCTTAGGTGTGTCCATGAGCTTTGTGGTACACAATACAATTAACTGTTCACACTTGCACTCCTCTCCTTGTAGGAAAATACCAACAAAGAAACATACAGCACATCTATAGTTTACACATTTATCCAGAAAAACATCAGATAGTGATGCAAGGCATTTTAATGATATAAATGAGGAAACAATAGTAGGGAAAGAGAAATGAACTTCAGGAGCTTGAATAGTGCAATACCATACCGCATTGTAGAATTCTAATGCCGCATTGTAATCATCTTTATGCAAAGCTTTGTCTCCTTCTTCTTTCAACTCAGCTACTGACATTTTAGATAAAGGGAGATCCTGAAAATTCAAGTAAATAATGACTCGAGATTGCAGAAATTTATGTGCAAAGAATTTAAAAAGAACAGAAATATTTCCGTAGTTAAACATGTTGTAGTTTCATTCATTTGGTACAATTGCATGTTTTTGTAAACATGTAGAGTAGAAATTATAGTACCACATTGTTCACAAACCCCCAAACTCAATCGCACCGGTTACATCTGATATACTCTGATACAACAAGAGATACAAGATTTGGCAAAGCCAGCAGCAAATTTCTTTTAGCACAAACTCAAAAGAGTGCAAGGGATTTTTGCTCTCACAGTTCTCTCAGGCCCTTTAGATCAACTTTAGCAGATTCGGCATATCCCCCCTCCCTCCATAAACCACAAATATGGAGGCTAGAGGGGCAAAATCCCCACACTAGCAGATTCGCCATTGCTCCCTTTATCTCCATATAATTTTTGGAGGGCGCTCCAAAAAGAGGAGTGCAGCCTCCAAACCCAACCACTGTGGTGCTTTTTAACATTCAGCTGCCAGTGGGGCAGCATCCTCCAGCCGCGCCGTCCCCACCCCCCTTGACGATACGAACGAGCAGCGCCAGGTTGCCTTGGCACTCGAGCTCTCTGTCCACGACAAGGACATCCGCCGCATCCAAGATGCCGAGCGCCATCGCTGCTGGACCATCCCCCTCGACGAGTCAGATTAGCAACACCAGGTGGAGCTCGCCGCGCACAGGTCCGTTGAGGACATCTGCCGGCACGGCGCCAACCGCCAGTGTGAGCTCCACTACGTGTTACACCAGTTGCGTGAGGACGCCACCTTCGAGGCCTAGCGCCAACACCACTGGGCTGCCGGCGAGCCGCTGTCCTCCGACTCTGATGAGCCGCTGTCCTCTGACTCCAACTAGACAGCATAGGAAGGCAGCCGCAGTTATTAGCAATGTCGAATAGCGACATTGCCTATCAATCTAGTCTAGTGGTTTGAGTAAATGTCGCTTCTCGACATTTTAGTCGCTAAAATGTGTATAAAGCGACGAATTTTCGCCCAATATATTAACTAACTATTTCTAATCTTGTTCGAGTGTTGATCCAATTTTATGCAGTGTTTTAGTGCGTCCAACTCTGGTTCCTACAGTGCTAGGATTTACTGTGGCTACACCTGGTCTACTCAGTGGCGGAGGACGGGGAAAATCAAGGTAGGGCAGGGTTAAACCAGAGTACTCAGCAATTTGGATCCACGTCGCTTCCGGCTAAATGTCATGCTAAGAGAGTGCTGTTCAACCCCTCAAATTAAAGCATTAAAATAAGATATAAATTTTTCCAATAAATGTAGAAATTTTACCAATTTTATTAACGGGACAAATCAGTAAGTAAACTGGATCATGCCTTGCCTAATACAAAGTACTACCGGAACCAGCAACCTAGCAACTCTCCACCTCAGTAAATAATAGAAATTTTATAGTTCAAAACTTCAAATAAGAATTCACAAGAAATACTCTCAATGATGTCAATGATGAATATTAACTTTCTTGGTCTAAAGAAGTTCATTAAAAAAAATAGCACTACAGCACACAAGTAAATATAAATCATAATCATTCGCAAAAAAAAATATAAATCATAATAATGTCAATGATGTTATTGCTCATACCTCGAACTTTGGCTCTGCCTTAACATGACTAATTATTCCATCAACGCTCAAATCATCTATAGCTGGAATACGAGAAGAAGTAACTTCATATAGGATCTCGACGGCTTTGCGTGTACCAAAATATGCCGCCAAATGTATTGGCAAGTGACCAAACTGTTCAGAAAAAGAGAAAATTGAATATCACCAATGTATTTCCAAGGGAAATAAATTAACACAAGTCCAGCCACACGAAAGACATATAGACAAGAATTTGACCAATAGTACTCCTTTCATGCCCAAAAGTAGGTCATAAGATCCGTTCTTCTGCGTCTAGTACGTATGCTTTCAGGCAATACACGCGTCTGCAAATAATCCAGCAAGTCCTTTTTGTCGTAAACTATTGGCTGTGCATCCTATGATGCAGAGACCAGGACACTAACTTATCCATTATCTAAAAAACAGGCAGCAAATTCCTAAATTACTTTACATTACTAGCATTTTTACCAGCATTTTTTTCATAATACAATGTTACCAAATTAGGAGGAAAGAAAATACATGTAAAATTGGCCAGGGCAAATCAACCAAAACTATTTCTATGTAAACTGTAGGAATGTCAAAAAAGAAATGTCAACTTCAAATGTATGCCATTAATCTTCAAGAAACTGGAAAAGTTGTACATGAAAAAATATGTCAGAAGGCATGAAATTGCAGTATTACAATTAACATGTCAGCATTAAAACTTCACTGAGTTAAATGCACCTGACCTAAGCTAACTATTAATTCGATATGACTGACTTCGTGACTCGTATTACCAAAGTTCAAAGATGGATGATGCATAGTTATTCAATGAGGTAATATCACCGGAAGTCATAGAACTTGCACTCGATGTTCAGTTTGGTGCTAAAACTTTAAAAATACGGATTTTTGGTCACCTAACTTGACATCGCGTGTAAATATGGTCACAAAAATACGCATGCAGACGTATCAGGGTGTATGACCCCACCTGTCAATGAGTGATGTTGCTCGGTTGACTAACTTTTGTGCAAAACACCCTCACATTTTATTTATTTATGGAAAAAGCCGACTGTTGTGTTGCATATAGGTACAAAAATTAACACAAAAAATGGGTGAGCAGAGACTAAACCCACGGCCAATGTTTACGACACAAGCCACTCCAGCCAACCCACCCTTCACGTTCGCATCTCATGTATGGATAGCAAACTTAGATTTGTTGAATGTGGAACTTAAATGACATTTTTTTCCCGCATCTATGAGGAATTGGTGTACATCTGCAGCCCATTTAAGCTATTTTACCGGTCCTTCTTTTACCAGAAATATGTAGAGGGGCGTACTGCTACAGTTGATTCCCTTAAGCAGGACCAGAAGTCATATTAGGTAGGTTGACACATTAAGATAAAATATAATGCCATCAACATAGTCTGTATCCCTAATGGAGCAGCTGGTAGGATTGCGTCCAGGTTTTTTTTCGTCCCACCACTTTTGTCCGGGTTTTTTTTCGTCCCCCCTCCCACCTGTTTATTTTTGCACCACCTATCACACAACGAAATAAATCATAACGAATCAGAACTTTCCATGCTGCCGCAAGTTATTAGGCTGGCTGTCTGACAATACATGTGTGTCTTTCCGAAGGGGATTGCCATTGCCGGCATATTTCTGCGGATACTGCGGCCCATTTTGCACTTGCTATTTTTTAAAGATATTTGTAAAACATAATTAACAAATTTATGTTCCAAGAATATTATCTATACCAATATAAAAAGACCCAAAGAGGCAGATCCAATTAATCTCAGCCATTAAATCATATCAATCCAATGATCTAGACTGCTTCAATGTCGAGCGCTCAACACGTTTAGCGTGCAGCTAATTTCATGCCAAATATAGTGCTAATCATATAATAACACGCAAATAATATCATACTTAATATCCGCATGCACTTAATATACTTCCAAATTAACGTGCATTGCAGGTACACATTCACTAGTACATACAAGTGATTATTATTAGTAAATACAAACAATTAAATATACATATGCGTATCTATATAAAAAATATTTAGTTAAAGCGACATTGAAAATGTTTAATGAATCCAAGAAAAATAACACACTCGAGGCTTATATTTAAATTATGCAAAATGATGAGTTCAAACATTTACTAAATATTCAAAATTATTCACCAGTGTATAATTTTTACTCATGATTTATAATTGAAAAAATAAATAATTTAAATATTAGACACGATTGAATATTCATATCAATTTTTACATTTTAAATTATAAAAAATTTGAACTCTAAAAATGTGAGAACATTTATTGAAATGTTTGTAAAGTTAAAATAGTATTTTAAATTTTAATTTTGGAAATATTTATTTTAAATGATACAGAAAAATTATAATTCATAATTTTTTTAATATATGAATATTTTTAAAATAGTACATGAACAAATTTAAAAGTAGGTTATATCGTTTGTATGTACAATATTTATAACACATATTTAGTTGTTATTTTTATTATTGTAATTATAGTTTACGTAAAATTTACATATTTCTAGTACATTAAGACTAATTATTCACCGTAGACGTGTATACGTGTTGGTTGTAGCGGCTATAACATCCTGTGTGCTATCCTTTGGTTGTTTGTTCGAGAGCTGACAGGCAGGACCCACTGCTCCACGGTCAATACATCTCAGTTTGTTATCCATACTTGAAATATGAACCTGATGGGTTGGTTGGTTAGCTAGAGTGTCTTGTGTCCTTAATTTGGGTCGTGTGTTCCAGTCCCTTCTCGCTGATTTTTTAGTTAATTATCGTACCTATATGTTGTACAGTGGTCGGCCTTTTCCATTAATTTTCGTACCAATATGCTGCTGTACAGTGGTTGGTCTTTCCTGCAAATAAAATATAGTAAGGTTGTTTTGTGCAAAATACAGTCGGCCGAATGTCATCACTCACTGACAGGCTGGCCCATACACCCTGATATGTCCGCATGCGTATTTTGTGACCATATTTGCATGTGATGTCAGGTTAGATAACCACAAATCCGTATTTTTAAAGTTCTAGCATCAAACTGAACATCAAACGCAAGTTCTACGACTTCCAGTGATATTATCTCTTATTCGATGTTACACCCACATGTGTAAACAGCCAATCATGATGTGAACAAAATATACAATATACACAAGTGGAATACAAAACTTACTTCATCTTTAACATTGGGATCTGCCCCAGCATCCAGTAGGCACTTAAGGGCGTCAGTTAGGTCATGTCTTGCAGCAGCAAGCAAGGGGGTCACATTACGGATGCCCTTCACACCCGCACCAGCCTAGCATGTAACAGAATCATGGATGTTTCCTCTAAGTAACATGTGTCAGACTTTATCTGTCCACATTTTCACTAATCTGGGATACATTTTTCAGCTTCACGCATAAGATATTAAGATGTAGCCGTACCTTTACCAGTAGTTTCACACATTTCACTGAGTGACTCTCGATAGCGATCTTGAGAGGTGACAAGAAACATCCTAGTATCTTGTTACACTAAAAAAGAAATGCAATCACTAGATTATTATCAGATGCATAAATAACAAGACAAATATAGTGACAAAAAGATGGAACCATGCCACTGTGAGAATGAACCTTAGTGAATGAAAGAACAAAGGGGGAAGTTGGTGGTTTGGTGCAGAATTGCAAAAAAGAAAAAAGAGGATGAAAATGAACATCATCACCATGAAATTATTTGGCAGTGGACCATTCAGTACATCACTGGTCAGTTCTTCACTACTAGCCTTTAAATCCAGATGACAACCAACACCTTTTTTTCTGATGGAAAGATAACAATTAAAGATTTATGCCCTACTTGAATCAGTGGCATTCCATATTTTGGGTCATCACACCTGGAAAAGATAGGCCCAAGAAAGGAAAAACTATGACCTTGTCAGTTGTGCTGAATTTAATCATCTCGAACAATTCATCCTTTTTGTTAGCATGACCATAGCAGCAACCCCATGTAAGGAAGTTTCTGCAAGTAGACCTTATCTCCAATACAATAGGACACTAATTTCCAGTCATTATTTTTTAACCATCCTTATCAATTTGTGGGATTCATTCCCTCTAGACAAGATGCATACTGTTGCAGGTGTAAATGAAGTGATTTCTTATGTTATTTTTTTTATGATTTTTGCTTTTTAGATTCAACAACAAAGCCTTTAGTCACAAACAAGTTGGGATAGGCTAGAGCTGAAACCCATAAGATCTCGTAACCAACTCATCGTTCTAGCACATGGATAGCTAGTTTCCACACACCCCTGTCCATGGCTAGTTCTTTGATGATACTCCAGTCCTTCAGATCTCTTTACGGACTCCTCCCCTGTCAAGTTCGGTCTACCCCGACCTCTTTTCACATTATCAACACGCTTTAGCCATCCGCTATGCTCTGGAGCTTCTGGAGGCCTGCGTTGAATATACCCAAACCATCTCAGACGATGTTGGACAAGCTTCTCTTCTATCGGTGCTACCCCAACTCTTATCACGTATATCATCATTCCGGACCCGGTCCTTCTTTGTGTGGCCACACATCCATCTCAACATGCGCATTTCCACTACACCTAACTGTTGAACATGTCGTCTTTTAGCCGGCCAACAGTCAACCGCATACAACATTGTGGATCGAATCGCCGTCCTATAGAACCTGCCTTTTAGCTTTTGTGGCACCCTTTTGTCACAGAGAATGCCAGAAGCTTAGCGCCACTTCATCCATCCGGCTTTAATTCGATGGTTCACATCTCATCGATATCCCCATCCTTCGGCAACATTGACCCCAAATATCGAAAGGTGTCCTTCTGAGGCACCACCTGCCCATCAAGGCTAACCTCCTCCCCGTGACTAGCAGTACTGAAACAACACCTCATGTACTCGGTTTTAGTTCTACTAATCCTAAAACCTTCCGATTCCAAGGTTTGTCTCCATAGCCCTAACTTTCTATTAACCCCCGTCTGACTATCATCGACTAGCACCACATCATCCACAAAGAGCATACACCATGGGATATCTCCTTGTATATCCCTTGTGACCTCATCCACCACCAAAGCACAAAGATAAGGGCTCAAAACTGACCCCTGGTGCAATCCTATTTTAATCGGAAAGTCATCAATGTCGCCATCAATTGTACGAACACTTGTTTTTTCTCGAGAAAACACAAAGTGATTTTTGCGTTTCATTGCATTGAAAAGGTGAGCGAGAGTACATGCCTCCTAGGAGGTTATATTTACAGAGTCCTAGCGCCTCCAACCAGTGGACATCCCAGGAGGCGGGCAAGACTACCCGCAGCCCCTGTGCCCCGGCTTTTGCCCAACATTTGGCCTCGTCTTTAATCCTATCAACTAGCGCATCTATCGAGGGTCTTGCATTGTCGAAGACGCATTCGTTCCTCTGTTTCCAGATCATCTAGGGGACGAGCAGTGTGATCGATTGCAGAGCTTTGCGTAGTGTAGGATGGGTTTGAGCCTTTGCACGCAACCACCAGTCCATCAAGGTGATTTCGGTAGCTGGCGGTTGGGCAGGTATATGCGCCCAGTCCAGGATGATGTGCCAGGTCTGCTTGGCGAATGGACACGCCAGTAGCAGGTGTTGGATGGTCTCCGGGTCTTGGTCGCAAAGGAGGCACCTAGGGTGGTGCTGCAGGCCGCGGCTGGCCAGCCTCGACGCCGTCCAACATCGGTCCTGGTTAGCAAGCCAGTGGAAGAATTTGACGCGGGGTGGCGCCCAACTCCTCCAAATCAGCTTCCATGAGTAGCAGCTTGTAGATCCCTGAAATGTGGCGGCATAGCAAGATTGGTCCGAGTATGTGGCGCTTGCTGCCCACTCCAGAGGAGTCGGTCGGGTTTGTCCGAGAGGGTGAAATGTTGTATCGCCTGCCGTAGCATCAGGTACTGGCCAATCTCATGTATCCCGATGGTCCCCTGGATATCTCGGGCCCAAGTGTTCCCGTCCAGGCCTTCTACCACTGTTCTCGTCTTGCGTCGCTGGTTGGGGATGCATTGGTATAGCATGGGGGCTATCTCGCGGACGGATTGGCCGTTTATCCATCGGTCATCCCAGAAGAGTGATGTCCGGCCAGCGCCGAGCATCATAGTGGTGGATGAGAAGAACAGTGTGCGCTCCTCCTTGGAGAACTGGAGATCAAGGCCCTGCCATGCGCGGTCAGTGTCCGTGCGGGTGAACTACATCCATCGCAGCCGTAGTGCTAGGCCTGCGCGCTCCAGATCATGGATCCCAAGGCCACCATATTCCACGGGGCGGCAGGCGTGGCGCTAATTGACATGACAGTTCCCTCCGTTGGCGATGGCGCGGCCGGCCCACAAAAAGCCACGCTGGATTTTCTCTAGCTGCTTCAGTGTCTTCTTGGGCGGGGCAAAGGCGAGCAGCTGGTGAACTGGGATAGCGCTCAGCACCGACTTGACTAGTGTGAGCCTCCTGACTTTGTTCATGAGCCAAGCTTTCCATGTCGGGAGCCGGGCGGCCACCGAGTCGACGAGGGGCTGTAGCTATGCAGCAGAGGGTCGGCGGAGTGTTACCGGTATACCAAGGTAGGTGATGGGCAGCTCAACCACCGGGCATCCAAGTTGGGTGATCATCTCGGCCGTCGCGGGTTCACCATGGAGGATGGTAGCTGAGCTCTTTGCATAATTCACCTGGAGCCCACTAGCTCGGCCAAACAGGGCTAAGATGCCCTTGCCACATCGTCCTGGGTGGCATGGCAGAATATCATCACATCTTCGGCGTAGAGTGAGATCGCGGGAATAGCTCGTCGGGGGTGTAGCGGCCGTACTATGCTGCAGTCGTGGGGGCATGAGGCGGCTGAGGGTGTCAACCGCGAGCACAAAGAGCTGCGGGGACACGGGGTCTCCCTGGCGCAGACCGCATCGTAGCCAGATTGTTGGGCCGGGTTCGCCGTTTATCATGACGCGGGTGTTGGACGTTGTGAGGAGGATCGCTATCCACTCCCTAAACCGAGGCCTGAATCCGTACTGACCAAGAACCTCGAAGAGGAATGGCCATGATAAGGAATCAAAGGCCCGTGTGAGGTCTAATTTGAGCATGATCCGCGGGGCCTTGAGTTGGTGCAGCAGTCTCATAGATTGCTTGACCAGAACAAAATTGTCGTGGAGACTCCTGGCGGGGATGAATGCATTTTGGTTGCGACTGACCAAGTCGCCAAGTCTGGGTGCTAGTCGGAGCGATATCACCTTCGCGAATATTTTGGCCACGAGATGTATCAAACAAATCGGGCGGTAGTCGCGTAGCTCGCTGGCATCGGCACGCTTGGGGAGCAGGGTCAGTAGGGCCTGGTTGAGCTTGCAGAAGCCTCGGCTTCGCAGCTCAAATAGCTGCTGGAATACGTCCAGGAAGTCTTGTCGGATGGTGCCCCAATAGGCTCTCACGAACTCTATCGTAAATCCGTCCGGCCCGGGAGCTTTGCGAGCCGGCAAGAGTTTGATGGCGTTCCATATTTCCTCTGGGCTGAATGACTCGTCAAGTCCTGCCAGGTCGCAAGGCTCGATGAGGTGATCGAGGTCCAGCGAGCAGTCACGTGCGGCAGGGCAGCCAAAGAGCTCGTCAGAGTGGGCGAATGCTGTGTGCGCCATCTCCTCCTGGACGGTGATTACATCGCCGTTGACGGTAAGGGCGTGGATGTGGTTCTTCTGCCGACAGTATGAGCATTGCCTATGGAAGAAAGGCCGTGTTGGCGTCGCCATCTTTGAGCGTGGTGATGCGGGCACCCTGCCTGGCTATGGTGCGCTCCAGGGAGGCCAGTCCGAGGTATGAGATCTTGAGCTGCTTACGTAGCCAATCCTCCGGAGGTGATAGCATGTGATCCTCTTGAGCCTTGTCAAATCGTGAGATGAGCTCACGGGAGATTGCCATCTTATCCCGTATGCAGCCAATGGTCTTGCCGCTCCAGCTAGTGAGCATGCGTGCTGTTGCCTTTAGGCACAACATCAAGCGACGCAAAGGATCCGGGTCATGGACCGAGCCCCATGTCGTGGCCACCATGTCGTGAAACCCATGTAAATGCATCCAATAGTTCTCAATGGAAGCGTCGCCGCGCCGTGTACGTTGGCGAGCAGTCGAGCAGGAGTGGACTATGGTCTGACACGACGGACACGAGGCAAAGCAAGTGGCAGTCTGCGTGTGCGTCTTCCCAATCCGAGGTGGAGAGTACACAGTCCAAGTGTACCAACGTGGGTGGCGATTGCTCATTCGACCACGTGAAGCGCCGCCCATTGAGGTATACTTCTTTCAGCATGAGGTCGTTGGTGAGGCGGCTGAACCGGCCCATCATGCGGCGGTTCAGATTGCCCCTGCTCTTGTCCTCGTCGCGGAGGATTAGGTTGAAGTCCCCACACACCATCCATGGCCCGGGGCAGCCCGCGCACACGTCTCTAAGCTCTTGCATGAATGCGATCTTGTCCGCATCATCCCGGGGGGGGGGCATAGACGACCGACAGCCACCAAGGCGCGCCCGTGGCCGTGGTCACCTTGGTTGTGAGAGCGTTCATGGTAAACAAGGGATCCGTGATAGTCACGGTACTGCTCTTCCATGCAAGCAGGATGCCGCCCCGCGTGCCTTGCGCCAGGAGATACGTGTAGTCATCAAACTCGGAGCCCAGGGTGTCAAGAACAACCGAGGAGCAAATCAACGCCATTTTTGTTTCTTGAAGGCAGACAATGGAGGCAGAGGTGGTTACAATCAGCGAGCGGATCGCCATGCGTCGGGCACGCGCATTAAGGCCACGCACATTCCAGACAACAAGCCTAAGGTTGTGATCCATGCACACAAGGTCGGCGGGGGGAGGGGGGTGCGCGTACGGCTCATGGCGTGCATACCATAGCGTTGCTTGTCGGGACGGTTGCTGGGGTGGCCATGCGCGTACGGATGTCGCGATCAACCAGTGCGGCGATGGTTGTGAGCACCGAGAGTGGGATGGGTGCTGCAAATAGGTCATCATACACCTTCATCTCGGCCGAGGTGATCTTCTGGCTCGTCCCAATGATCCCAAGGGTGCGCAAGATCTTAACCTGCGATCTTCTTTCAGCAGTGGGCGGGGCCGCCGGTGGGGAAGCCGCTGTCGAGGCTGAGCGGCCTCGCCGCAGAGTGAAGTTGAGCGCGCGCCGCGGTCTTCTCCCAAGGGTAGGCAGGGCTGAAGTGATGTGCTTCGTGGCGGCGACCAGGAACTCACCAAGAGTCCAAGTGCGCGGTGGAGCAACGCGGCCTCGGGATTGACGTAGCATGATCGGCGGGGAGGCGAACCGCCCTTATGCAGAGTTGCACGGGTCGTGATGCACGCTAGTCGGAGTTGGCATATCCTCTGGGGGGCCTGTCGTTGTGGGCGGATTGGTCGTGGGCTAGGCCGGAGGCCTTTGTAGTATTCTCACCGGGGTGTGGGGTTCTGCCTGTCTGGTGGTGGGGTTGCTGCCACCGGTGGGTTGCACTTCCCCGCCCTTCTCGTCGCATGCGTGGGGTTGGTCGGGTGCGTCTGGCCCCGCAGCAGGTGTTGGCGTCAGCGGGACATCTCTTTGTCCCGACAGGATAGCTGGTCCCTCTAGTTGGGAGTCTGGCACCTCGCTCAGGGCAGACAGATCCCTACAGCTCACAGGATCAGGCGAGCCAGGCATGGGGTCAGGCATGGGGCTCTCTCGATCCGCCTTGGTTGCGGCAATCTCGGCCTGATTTGAATCTGGGGGTGCTTCTAAGGTGGTTGACACCAATGACGGGTCGCTAGTTGGCGCATGCGCCAAAGCTCCCACGGTCAAGGATGGGCCACCAACTGCCATAGTCGACATCGCCCTATGGGCCTCTGCGGTGTCTGCATCTCTGTGCTCCTGGTCCACCGGCAAAGCCCTCTTTTGCTTTCCTCTTCCCCTTCCTTTTCTGGCAGCATGACGAGGGTTGGCGGGCCCATGCTGACCCGGCCACGGGGCCATGCTGCATCGTGCTTGCTGTACGGGCAGCAGTGCATCCACGGCGGCGGGAGTTGGCTAGGATGGAGCCATGGTCACCACATCCGCGCGGACAGAGCGGTTGTCGACGCACCAGAGGGAGGAATCCATGGCCATGCCATCCGCGCGGCCAGGGGTGGCGCATCCGTACGTCGTTGCTTGCAGCCACGACTATGCGCCCTGCCGGGGCCGGGGGCGCGGTTACGGCCACCATCATCTCGCGTGCCCGCTCCACCCTGTCCAGTGCCAGGCTGGGCGCCGAGGGACGGTGCTCCGCTCGGCTCAACACGCGCCAGCGCGATGGCGATAGGGTATGTGAGCGTCTTGATGATCGGCTCGTCGAAGCTCAAGCGAGCGGGGATCTGCTCAACAATTTCCAAGATGGCATTGCGGCGAATGCTGTCAGGACAATGTGTGCGCCCTGCTAGCCGGAACGTGGCCAAGTCTGCTCTGGAGCGAGTGTTGGGGTGGAGGCGCTCAATCCAGCAGCTCTCTCCCAGGATGTGCTCGGCGGTGGAGAGGTGGCAAGCCTGGGCGGGGATACCACGAAGCTCATGCTCGACGCGAAACTCGAACTCATCGGAACCGGCGTGAGCCAGCTTGCTCCAGGGCCGGAAGGAGAGAGAGAAGCGTGGCGAGTTGATGAAGTGGTCTCCGTCTAGTCGGCGCTTGCTTGAATGGGAGCTGACTAGGATTAGGAAGTCTTCTGGGTGGTGGGCATGGACGGTGAAGTCGCCGCCGGCGAGGTCGAAGGTGTCGAGTGGCACGTCGGAGACCTCGGCGGCGGACACATGTGGCCTATTGCCGATGATGCATGCAACCATTGCACGGCTCAAGACCGCCTCGGCCTCCTCCATCTCGACCGAGTGCGCCATGATCACCCGAACTGGCTCCTGCATGCGTGCTGCCGACGCGACCCGCTAGGCTGCAGGCAGCAAGGGTGGCGGGGGCGGAGGAGTGGCCTGGACTGGAGCGCGCTCCCGAGCAGCCAGTGGTGGGGCAGGGCTGCGCGGCGAAGGCGTCGCAGGAGCGTGAGTCACGGCCGGAGACGAGGCATCGTTGGCACCGGATGTCGTTGGTGCAGTCCCGCACCCGGTGGTGGTGGTCGAGGCAGCGGAAGCAGAGCCCCGCGACCTCCTCCGGGGAGGGGCTGCGCCGGCGCAGCGGGGGCGGGCTGGGCTCTTCGACTTGGCGCGGACGACGCTGTCGGTGCCTACGACGCGGTTGCTGGTACCCGTCAGCATCGACCTGGACTCCGCTGGAGACGCGGTGAACCCCTGAGCAGGGCCCGCGGCGCGAAGGGGGCCAGCGGGGCGCGCGCGACTACGCTGTACGAGCACAACGAGGACTCACTCTCCGAGTCCGACCAGCGGCTGCCGGAGGACACGCGGTCACCGGAGAGGGTCGCTCAGGGCTCGACAGGGTTAGCGCATGCGGACGCCATGGCCGGGGGTGGTTGGTTGGGAGGAGGAGGGCTGCCATCGGGGATTCAAGGGCGGCGGGGCTGGTGGGACGCTGGGTCAGGCGAGGGGAGCAGGAGGGAGGGAGCGGAGCGGAGCAGAGCCATTACTTGTTGTTATGTTTTTCTATGAACACTTGTCACAACATTATCGTACATGTCATTGATGAGGTTAATGTACTTTGCTGGGACTTTCTGTTTCTCCAAGGCCCACCACATCACATGCCGCGGTATCTTATCGTAGGCCTTCTTCAAGTCAATGAACACCATATGCAGGTCCTTTTGCTCCTTATATCTCTCCATAAGTTGTGGTACCAAGAAAATTGCTTCCATGGTCAACCTCCCATGCATGAAACCAAACTGATTTTTGGTCACACTTGTCATTATTCTTAAGCGGTGCTCAATGACTCTCCCATAGCTTCATTGTATGGCTCATCAACTTAATTCCATGGTAATTAGTACAACTTTGAACATTCCCCTTGTTCTTGAAGATTGGTCCTGATATACTCCGTCTCCATTCTTCTGACATCTTGTTTGCCGAAAAATGAGGTTGAAAACCTTACTTAGCCATACTATTGCTATGTCTCTGAGGCCTCTCCACACCTCAATAGGGATAAAATCAGGGCCCATCGCCTTGCCTCTTTTCATGTTTTTTAACGCCTCCTTGACCTTGGATTTGCCGCACAAAACGCTTACTCGTATCATCAAAGGAGTCGTCCAGTTCAATGGTAGAGCTCTCATTCTCCCCATTGAACAATTTGTCGAAGTACTCCCGCCATCTATGCTTAATCTCCCCGTCCTTCACCAGGAGCTGGTCTACTCCGTCCTTGATGCATTTGACTTGGTCAACATCCCTCGTCTTCCTCTCTTGGATCTTGGCCATCTTACAGATGTCCCTTTCGCCTTCCTTCGTGTCTAAGCGCTGGTAGAGGTCCTCATACGCCCGACCCCTTGCTTCACTCACAATTCTCTTTGCGGTCTTCTTTGCCACCTTGTACTTCTCTATGTTGTCTGCACTCCTATCCAGATGAAGGCATTTGAAACAATCTTTCTTCTCCTTAATAGCCTTCTGGACATCATCATTCCACCACCAGGTATCTTTAGCCTCGCTTCTACTTCCCCTGGACAATCCAAACTCCTCTGAAGCCACCTTCTGAATGCAAGTCTCCATCTTCATCCACATATTGTAGATTCAGTTACCAAAAAAACATAACACTCAAACAAGACCTAGCAAAGGACTGAACTATCTGACTAAGCTTCTGCTTGTCGGGGCAAGCTCCACATAGAGAAACTGTGTCAGAATATTAGCGGTTTAGCACATACAAACTTCGATCATGAAAATCTGACATACTAAAAGATAATAAAGGTGGAGACAGAAAACTTCAATGGAAATGACAATATAGTGGAGGTCTATCTACTCAAGGCGCTAAATGCTATCTTTTTCAAGCTTAGATGGTGAAATTATTTGTACACAAGAAGCAGGTAATTCACAGAAAGAGCCCATGACTTTCTGCTTGCTGCAGAACAGCTAGCTTTTCAGCATCCTTAACACTATGGACGGGACATGATTGTGCAAACAATTAATGATTAAAAGGCGAACTTCAATCTAATTTCAAATGTTCACAACTGTGTGATACTAACTAATTTACTGTCGAGATTCAACTAACCGAAAAATAGAGAAATCAGACAGCTGAAGGTAATCAAATACCCCCTCTGTCCCAAAAATAAGTGCCTTAACTTTAGTATAACTTTGTGCTAAAGTTAGTACAAAGTTGAGACACTTATTTTGGGACGGAGGGAGTATAACAGTGAGAAAACAGTAAAGGAACGTGTAATTTTAGATAATAAAGAGACTTGTAATGGAACTTACATCTGTATGGTGATCCAACAAAATCTTCATGGCTGCATCCTGCTTATGTTGAGCAGCGACATGCAACGGGGTTCCATGATCCGTAGAAAATGGATCGACATAAGCACCTCTAGAGAGCAAGAGTTCTATTATTTCACAATGCCCTGAATCAGAAGTTTGGAATATAATTTGAGTTATGAAACTCTTCTATGCTTCATTGCATTTCTTTCAACTTGTATCAATGAAGTTATGAAATGAATCAATTTGTGACATTGTTCTATGCCAAAGAAAATATATGATTCGTTTTTATACTTCAGTAGTACAAGCACAAATCTATCTCCCGTAATTACAGTCTGTTGTCTCTCTTCATCCACCAAAAAAGTGCAATGCATGAGTAACCAACTAAGAGGGGGATGGGGTGGTACCTATTTTGGCGGCCTCATGGAGAGGAGTAAACCCTATTATGTCGACATTATCTGGATTGGCACCATGATCAAGAAGATACCTGAAAATATTCACGTACCCACTTTTATCAGCAGTGATTGCCCAAACCAGAGGTGTTTTACCTGCCGAGACCATGGGAAAAGGAAGCTTATGGAGTTATATCAGAAGTTCAGAATAAACAAATGAAGTTTTCTGAGCATACATACAGACTTTCCATGTAACGATAGCACGCTAAATTTGCTTGAAGAAAATCGCAGAGATATCGAGCAGACACACCTGCTTGGTCAACGGCATCCACATCCACCTGGACATCCTCAACCAGGTACTCGCACACTTCCACCTTCTTGCACCAGGCGGCGAAGTGCAGTGCCCCAGCACCGTGATGCTGGACAGCTTGCACCGCCTCCGCGAGGTGGCCGCGACCACCGTCGAGCTGCCTCAAGTGGATTTTGGCGTGGCAACCCTCCTGCAAGACTCAAGCAGCAGGTCCTATGAAAAAACAAATAACATATGCGAGTGAGCAGTAACAGAAAATAAATAGCATGCCAATGACAAAAGCAGAAACAGAGAAGAAACATGTTCTGCAGAAAAGTAGGTAAACAAACTGTCTCCATGTCAACAATTGCGTCGCAGGATTCACATTTCACATTATAAGAAACCAGAAAATTTATAGGACATAAAAAACAAAACCTACAAAGATCTTAAACTGAAAAGAACTTTGGATCTGGACATGGACACATACAAAGAAGGCATTTAGCAGTACTGATCTAACTGACAGAAGCACATTTGGTCTGAACAAGAATTTGACAAAGACCATCATTGTATAATTTATGCAGTCATTGGCATCCTTTTAGTGAAAAAAGGAAATACAGTTCTTCCTAACAGACCCTTAACTGTTGAATATGAGGAAAGAACAAGTTTCAGACAGTGCAACTAAGATAATGAGGCATACAAGAACAAAGATGCCCTTGTCAAGCAACACATCAACAGTAGCATCATTTAGTAGCCCAAGTCATATTGAAATGCTCTGAAATTTTAACTGGGGATAGAAGAGCATCTACTCCTCTCATAAAATTATGAACCGATGCCATGCATAAGATGTGCAAACTTAGTTTATATCTATCCATTCACAGACATGTCACAAGTTATCCAAGAAAGCAATCCTTGTTGGTGCAGTTTTCGATATGCTTCTACTTCAGTTCAGATCACAGACCAGAAAACAAACCCCTTGCAGTTCAGTTGAGTTCAGAATAAAGAGTGTTATTACACGTGATTCAAGAAATAGTGGTCCTTCGTATGACCAAATTTGGCTAAAGAATGGCACCCAGGTAACATCCATACAAGATCTCATGGATGCTTCAAATTTAAAATCATCAACCAATGGGATGCCACATGAGCATGCAAGGGTGCCAACAATAAACAAGCACACTAGCACCATAGCTAATGTGGCAAGGTAATCAATCTGGCCTTCATAGCTAGCACCTAGCAGCAGAGGGTATATTGGTACCAAAAATTCTTCTGGTGTGCACAGCAAGGCATTCAATCTAATGTGACATGGACTTTTTATTCTAAAATCCACATGTCTAATAGAACATGAATGTAGTTGTCACTTGTCAGCGTACAAAGCACACAGCGTTTTTACAGCTACTTCAGTGTATAGTTGTATAGCATACATCATACGTACATGGACCAAATGCAAAATGAAAGCTGATTTCCAGTCATGTTTCTCGAGAAATAATGAATAAGGCATGGCAAGGAAGAAATGCTTCACATTTCTCAAGAAGAAAAGGGAAGAAATGCTTCATAGGCAAGGACAGTGCTTCACTATTTTGTGTCATGTTGCATAAACCTCCGTGGATACTTAGTAAATCGCAACAAAATTAACAAACATGAGCAGCAGCAGCAGCAGCAGAAATTACTGGGCGCATCGAGCAGGAGGGGAAGGAGGAAGAGGAGAACCTAACTAGCGGGCGAGAGGGGGAGGGGAAAAAGGGAGGAAGAGGAGAAGCTTACTAGCGGGCGAGAAGGGGAGGGGAAGGAGGAAGAGGAGAATCTAACGAGCGGACGGGAGGAAGAGGGGATGGACATTGGAGATGGTTCGTCACAGCGCTACTATCGCCGCCGAGCTCGCGCCGCCGTCGCCGCCTCGGTGTCGCTGACGCTCGGGAGAAAGGGAGGGGAGTAAGCCGTGCACTAGAGAGAGAGAGGGGAAGGGAGGGGAGGAGAAGGGCGGCGAGGAATTACCTTGCCGGAAGAGGCCACGCCGGCGGCGGGCAGCCTCGTCTCTCGTCGTTTTCCCGTGCGTTCCGCGACTTCCCCTCACGGGCTCTGAACCCAGATCATTACTCCCTCCGTCCCAGGGAGAGTAGTAGATAGCAGGCCAAGGCCCACGAACGACAAAGGGGAGCCATCGGGCCATGGACGTTTTTCTTTTGAACTGGAACCACTCGATTCTTCTTCTTTTTTGCCAATGATGATAGCTTTGTTTTGCTTTTCTTGTTGTGAAATGAAATAATCTTGTTACTCAAAAATCAAGGACTGCAATCATGTCTGGGACTCCCTGTATCTCGAACATGATTATTGTTTAACCATTGAAATATGTATCCCCCGGTTGTGACGCACGAGCACTTTTAACCTTGTACTCCCTCGGTTCCTAAATATAAGGTCTTTTAGAGATTTCACTATAGACTACATGTCTATATATAGCTGTATCTCGTCCATAGTGGAATGTCTAAAAGGTCTTATATTTAGGAACAGAGGGAGTAGTTGTTATGATATTTATATATGTGGAAACAAAATTATGCTGAGGACATCGATGGAGGGTCAAAAGCTCTCTTCCGAACCCTAGCCACCTCCACACCCAAACTCTCCACTGTCGCTACTTTCTCCCCTCTTCCTTCTGCTCTGATCCAGTCGCCAATAGGCAGTGGCGAGGGTAAATGTCTTTGCAGAGATCGATATGGTGATGGGTTCGCTGCCAAAAGAGTGGTGGGGTTTTCTTCTCTGGTGGTGGACCCGCAAAAGTCCTCTTCTAGGGTGGTAGCCATTGCACATGGATGGTGGGTAGCGTTTCGGCCATGTGGACAGTGGCGACTAGGGTCAATCTCCTTCCATAGATCAATATGGGGTTGGGCCCGCTAACCAAAGAGTGGTGTGGTTTTCTTCTTTGGTGTTGTAGAGACATGTGAAAATCCTCTTCTAGAGCGGCATCCATTGGCACAAAGGTGGTGGGAAGCATTCCGACCATGTGGATGGTGGCGGTGAGGGTCGGTCTCCTTTTAGAGATCAAGATAGTGGTGGACCCGCTACCAAAAGAGTGGTGTGGTCTTCTTCTCTGGTGGTTTAGCGACCCGCAAAAGTCCTCTCCTAGGGTGGCATCAATTTTCACACATGCGGTGGGCATTGTTTTAGCCATGTGGACAAACTGGGACGAGGGTCAATCTTTGAAAGGATCGAGAAGAGGTGTCTAGAGGCGGGGGTGAATAGACTCTAAGTAAGAAAAATTGTAGATTTTAATTTCTTTAAGTTGAAGTGAAGTTTTGGCACAAGTTTAAACATTTACAATACATATCAAGCAAGCATGACAAGAGTATATGAGCAGCGGAAAGTAAAGCATGCAAGTTGCAAAGATGTAAAGGGATGTGATTGGAGTGTGCAAACGCAATTTGGAGACACAGAGATTTTTTATCCGTGGTTCCGATAGGTGGTGCTATCGTACATCCACGTTGATGGAGATTTCAACCCACGAAGGGTAACGGTTGCGCGAGTCCACGGAGGGCTCCATCCACGAAGGGTTCACGAAGAAGCAACCTTGTCTATCCCACCATGGTCATCGCCCACGAAGGACTTGCCTCACTCGGGTAGATCTTCACGAAGTAGGCGATCTCCTTGCCCTTACAAACTCCTTGGTTCAAATCCACAATCTTGACGGAGGCTCCCAAGTGACAGCTAGCCAATCTAGGAGACACCACTCTCCAAGAGGTAACAAAGGGTGTGTTGATGATGAACTCCTTGCTCTTGTGCTTCAAATGATAGTCTCCCCAACACTCAACTCTCTCTCACAGGATTTGAATTTGGTGGAAAGAAGATTTGAGTGGAAAGCAACTTGGGAAAGGCTAGAGATCAAGATCTATGTGGTTGGAATGGAATATCTTGACCTCAACACAAGTGTAGGTGGTTCTCTCTCAGAAAATATATATTGGAAGTGTAGGCATGTTCTGATGGTTCTCTCCACGAATGAAGAGTGGGTGGAGGGGTATATATAGCTGTTGGGGAACATTGCAGAAAACAAAAAAAATTCTCTATGTTTCACCAAGATCTATCTATGGAGTCATCAAGCAACGAGAGGGGAGTGCATCTACATACCCTTGTAGATCGTGAGCGGAAGCATTCAAGAGAACGGGGATGATGGAGTCGTACTCGTCGTGATTCAAATCACCGATGACCAAGTGCCGAACGGATGGCACCTCCGTGTTCAACACACGTACGGAGCGGATGACGTCTCCTCCTTCTTGATCCAGCAAGGGGAAAGGAGAGGTTGATGAAGATCCAGCAGCACGACGGCGTGGTGGTGGATGCAGCAGTGATCGCAGCAGCGCTTCGCCGAGCTTCTGCGAGAGGGAGAGGTGTAGCAGGGGAGAGGGAGGCGCCAAGGCTTCAGGGTGCGGCTGCCCTCCCTCCCCCCCCTTTATATAGGCCCCCTAGGGGGGTGCACCGGCCCTAGGAGATGGGATCTCCTAGGGGGGCGGCGGCCAAGGGGGTGGAGTGCCCCCCAAGGCAAGTGGAGGCGCCCCCCTCCCCTAGGGTTCCCAACCCTAGGCGCATGGGGGGCCCAAGGGGAGGCGCACCAGCCCACTATGGGCTGGTTCCCCTCCCCACTTCAGCCCATGGGGCCCTCCGGGATGGGTGGCCCCACTCGGTGGACCCCCGGGACCCTTCCGGTGGTCCCGGTACAATATCGTTGACCCCCGAAACTCTCCCGATGGCCGAAACTGCACTTCTTATATATAATTCTTCACCTCCGGACCATTCCGGAACTCCTCGTGACATCCGGGATCTCATCCGGGACTCTGAACAACTTTCGGGTTACTGCATACTCATATCTCTACAACCCTAGCGTCACCGAAACTTAAGTGTGTAGACCCTACGGGTTCGGGAGACATGTAGACATGACTGAGACGACTCTCCAGTCAATAACCAACAGCGGGATCTGGATACCCATGCTGGCTCCCACATGCTCCTCGATGATCTCATCGGATGAACCACGATGTCGAGGATTCAAGCAACCCCGTATACAATTCCCTTTGTCAATCGGTACGTTACTTGCCCGAGATTCCATCGTCGGTATCCCAATACCTCGTTCAATCTCATTACCGGCAAGTCACTTTACTCGTACCGTAATGCATGATCCCGTGACCAGACACTTGGTCACTTTGAGCTCATTATGATGATGCATTACTGAGTGGGCCCAGAGATACCTCTCCGTCATATGGAGTGACAAATCCCAGTCTTGATCCGTGTCAACCCAACAGACACTTTCGGAGATACCCGTAGTATACATTTATAGTCACCCAGTTACGTTGTGACGTTTGGTACACCAAAAGCACTCCTACGGTATTCGGGAGTTACACGATCTCATGGTCTAAGGAAAAGATACTTGACATTGGAAAAACTCTAGCAAACGAACTATACGATCTTGTGCTATGTTTAGGATTGGGTCTTGTCCATCACATCATTCTCCTAATGATGTGATCTCATTATCAATGACATCCAATGTCCATAGTCAGGAAACCATGACTATCTGTTGATCAACGAGCTAGTCAACTAGAGGCTTACTAGGGACATGTTGGTATCTATGTATTCACACATGTATTACGATTTCCGGATAACACAATTATAGCATGAATAAAAGACAATCATCATGAACAAGGAAATATAATAATAATCCTTTTATTATTGCCTCTAGGGCATATTTCCAAGAGTCTCCCACTTGCACTAGAGTCAATAATCTAGTTACATTGTGATGAATCGAACACCCATAGAGTTCTGGTGTTGATCATGTTTTTCCCTAGGGAGAGGTTTAGTTAATGGATCTGTGACATTCAGATCCGTATGTACTTTACAAATATCTATGTCTCCATCTTGAACATTTTCACGAATGGAGTTGAAGCGACGCTTGATGTGCCTGGTCTTCTTGTGAAATCTGGGCTCCTTGGCAAGTGCAATAGCTCCAGTGTTGTCACAGAAGAGTTTGATTGGCCCCGACGCATTGGATATGACTCCTAGGTCGGTGATGAACTCCTTCACCCAAATTGCTTCATGCGCTGCCTTCGAGGCTGCCATGTACTCCGCTTCACATGTAGACCCCGCCACGACGCTCTGCTTGCAGCTGCACCAGCTTACTGCTCCACCATTCAACATATACACGTATCCGGTTTGTGACTTAGAGTCATCCAGATCTGTGTCGAAGCTAGCATCGATGTAATCCTTTACGACGAGCTCTTCGTCACCTCCATAAACGAGAAACATGTCCTTAGTCCTTTTCAGGTACTTCAAGATATTCTTGACCGCTGTCTAGTGTTCCTTGCCGGGATTACTTTGGTACCTTCCTACCAAACTTACGGCAAGGTTTACATCATGTCTGGTAACACATCATGGCATACATAATAGACCCTATGGCTGAGGCATAGGGGATGACACTCATCTCTTCTATATCTTCTGTCGTGGTCGGACATTGAGCTGAGCTCAATTTCACACCTTGCAACACAGGCAAGAACCCCTTCTTAGACTGATCCATATTGTACTTCTTCAATATCTTATCAAGGTATGTGCTTTGTGAAAGACCTATGAGGCGTCTTGATCTATCTCTGTAGATCTTGATGCCTAATATATAAGCAACTTCTCCAAGGTCCTTCATTGAAAAACTCTTATTCAAGTAGGCCTTAATGCTGTCCAAAAGTTCTATATCATTTCCCATCAAAAGTATGTCATCTACATATATATGAGAAATGCTACAGAGCTCCCACTCACTTTCTTGTAAACGCAGGCTTCTCCATAAGTCTGCATAAACCCAAATGCTTTGATCATCT